CCCCATGGCTCTCTCTCTCTCTCTCTCTCTCTCTCTCTCTCTCTCTCTCTGCGAGCTTCGGGTAAGTTTGTTTCTCTCAAGTAAGAGCCTCCACACACAAATTGACATAACAGTAACGTAAGGCCCGATCTACAATAAATGGAGTAAGGAGTAGGAGTAAGAAATAAGCAGTAAGCAAATTGGCCAATTCCATTCTCACGATTCAAGAATAATCGATTGTGATTGGTCCATTTATTTACTGCTTATTTCTTATTCCTACTCCTACTCCTTACTCCATCTATTGTAGATCAGGCCTAAGAATTGACCAATTACGATCGAGTACTCATCAAAATGGGCGCATTCAGTAGAAAAAGCGCTCAGTGAGCAATCAACGATTATTGGTTCTTGCTATTAGATCCCTAAATCTAGACCAATTACATTGACAAATTACTCAACTGTTGTGCAACTGTTGAGTCTGCTGAATGCAGCCAATGACGACCTTCGACGATTCTCAATGTGATTGGTCAATTCTTACGGTACGTCTTACGTTACGGCTATGGCAATTTGTGTGTGAAGACCCTAAGGGCCGTGGCACACAGAAAAACTTAAGCAGTAAGATGTAAGCAGTAAGCAAATTGACCAATCACAGTCGTTGATTCTTGGACCGTAAGAATCTTACTGCTTACGTCTTACTGCTTAAGTTTTTCTATGTGCCACAGCTTAAGTTCTAGTGTTCAAAAATATCGATACAATTATCGATACGTATCGATATGCTTTTTCCTATTATTTGATAGCATGTTCGATTGGCTTTGAGTTAACCCACTCTGGATTATTCAGCCTACGTTTATTGGTATACGAATAAGTACTTATAAGCTTTATGATTGACTAGTAGAGACTTATGACGTCATTACCAGGGCCAGTCGAACACGTTATGAGTATCGTCCGGGAAGAATGTCCCAGACGATACTCAAATAATAGGAAAAATCATATCGATACGTATCAATAGTCGTATCAATACTTTGGAATACTAATAAGTTCCAAGTTTATTTTCCAATTCCCGGCCACGTACCTAGGTCGCATTCCAAAACATCCTTTTTTAGGACATTTTTTAGGAAATTTTACTCCATACTCTATAGTATATGTAACGTGAACTATTGAGTAAAATTTTCCTCAAAAAGAACGTTTTGGAATGCAACCCTAATGTACGTCGACATGTGCATATATTGAAATTCTACAAGTATTCTATGTTGAAAGGTTTTTATTTAAAGACCAAATTTATACAATTCACGCGTATCCTAATGATATCTTACCTTTTTTTAGAAATATTTTAGATATCTTCAAGATGTGTCGTGTGAAAAACAATGGTAAACGTCTAAGTTTAATTTTAGAGTTGCATTCCAAAACGTTCTTTTTGAGGAAAATTTTACTCAATATCTATAGTTCACGTTACATATACTATAGAGTATCGAGTAAAATTTCCTCAAAAAAGATGTTTTGGAACGCAACCTAGGTACATATTTGGGAATAGGTACTTTTACTTATTGAACTTTTGAACTTTTTGTTGAGAGATTGAAATTTCTCCGTGAGAATTCGTGTATTTTTTTGAAAAATGGAATTTTAAAGATTTCTGAAAGAATGCAAAGTTTAATTTCTATTTATTTATTTATTTTTAATAATTAGTTTTTATTTACTCTAATCTTTTTTTTAATTTTTAAAGAATATAAATGGAAAGAGAAATATATATATATATATATATATATATATATATATATATAAAATATTAATTAAATTAAGAAAATTTTTTTTTATAATGTACAATCTCGAGAACGATCCAGAAAAATAAGCTCTTCGACAAAATACGACTCGAGATGGAATGAGAAACGAGAGAAAGAACGAAAGATTTTCTCATTAAGAAATTATAATATTTAATGCAAATATTTTTATAAATATAGGATAAGAAAAAAGCAACGCGTTGATACTCGTTTAAAAGCGTATATGAAATTCAATATTAACATTCGCCACGAAATCTAATATGTCCAACGATTAAAATTCGTTGTCTACAAACTAATACATGATATGATATGAAAAAAGGAAATAGTTGCCAACGAGTCACCTTGTGAGGCGAACACTTGAATAATAATATCTAACATCGGTACATTATTGTACGAGAAATCGATGAAGTCGAGACTGTCTTCAATATGTGTAAAGATTATAATGTTCCGTAGAATATAAATATAAAGTATAAACGTAATAAATTAATTGTCCCATGAGAATAAAGCAAAGAAATGCATCGATATTAACTAAATTTAATTAGTACGAACGAAACGAGTTTGTCAAGTCTCCAATCGGGAAAAATGTTATCGCCAGAATCGTACATTCACATTAAGAAAGCCGTGGAAGCGGAGGTGATCAAGACAATACAAAAACAAGGTAAGGATCTTCTTTCTAACTGTATAATTTGAAGCAATTTTGTCATAATTACGCGCAATAATGAGAGAGAGAAAGATATATATCTTTTTAAAATTTCGCTGAGTTAACTATACATCATTTTTGCTCATTTTTTTCTAAGTAAAATTAGATTTTTCTACTTAAACTATTCACACAAAGATATTCTTTCGAAGGGTACAATTTGAACACGGTGAACAATTACGACGAGAATCTGTTGCACATAAGCGCGGCGAACGGTTGCTACGAGATCACGAAGACGATTTTGGACCGGGAAGAGAGCCATCGTGCCGTAGACAGAAAAAACAAATTCGGTTGGACCCCGTTGATGCAGGCGATTCGCAATAGTGACATCGACACTGTGAAATTGCTCTTGGAGAAGAAGTCTAACGTCGATGAGTCGACGTATCTCGGTAAAAGAGGGACTGTCATGCAATTCGCGATAAAATTAACAGGAAGATACTATTAACAATCACACGAAAAGCATTTCCTAGTAAAAATCACTATAGGATTTTTACTAGGAGAAATAGATCTGTAGAAATGGATATGTAGTAATTTACTCTATTGTTTCATTTCATATATGCTACTTATATCTTAGGAACTAAAATGTGCACTGTGAAAAAATGTCTGGTACTTGTGATTATGATTACATAAGGAAATAATGAAATATGCTCACTTCTCTCGTTAATTCGATCAAACAGGCATGTCGGTCCTCGGGCTAGCCGCCGCGATCAGCACGAAGATGTTCGAGACGGTGTACAACGCGTGTCCGAGCGCACTGGCGAATGCGATTAATGACGATATCAGTCCACTGTGCGTAGCAGCCATGAAGAACGACAAGGAGCTGTTCTTCAAGCTGCTGGAACTTGGTGTTTCGATTTCAGATGCTAGTAAGACAACCTTTTTTTACTTTGACATCGTCGGATATTTGCGAACGTTTGAATTTCGATTCGACTGAAGACGGGAAAATGCGATGTTGAGCGCAGATGAGTACACGCACATCATGATGAGGAACTCGACTGTGCCGGAAATCGCAAACTTGGCGAAAGAACATTTGATCATAGATGACTATTGGAACGATACGTCAGATAACATCCAGGTGATGGGCCAACAAGGAGACGTCGACGAGATCAAGGCGGCTTGCAAGAAGAAAACGGCAAGGCCCATAAAACGTCATCTCTTGTCCGTGGCTGCGGAATCCGCGGAGATGCAGAATTTAGCGTCGCCCGCGCTGACGTACAATCGTGACGGCGTGTTCGCGGCATCACCAGTCGTGTGTTTCACGAGGACCGATTTCACGGAGCGTGCGAACACGTCCTTAGAAGACGAGGACGCGACCACGCAGAACGATTTCAAAATGTGTCAGCAAGAGTCATCTGCAGTTGCACTTCAAAGGTAGTCTGGTTGCGCGAGTGCACAGTTCTATATCGAACTCATATTTAAATCGTATAGTACAAAACGTCCACAGTATCATCCTGAACGTGTTCTGAAAATGTCTGAAGAATATGCCATGACATCCTGAGCATGTCTAGAACGAACTCAGATATTATCTTAGATAACACAAATTTCTAAAATGTCTGAAAGAATTCCTGAAAAGATAGAAATCAGATTTCTAAGGAAGATATAATGTCTACAAAAGATAGAAATTAGATTTCTAAGAAGATTAGACGTCTATGAAGATCATGACATATTTAAAATGTTTTTTGGATATTTGTACTTGTCCAGGATAAAATATTGTGTGAATGTAATACACAACTTAATCGCAGATTGCAATCGGTGCGACCGGCGGATCTCGAGATTGCGAATCACTCGAACGATTTGGACGCCACTCTCGGCTTTACACCGGAATTCAGTCCGCTGAGGTGTCCCCATGTGCCGCCGGACATCAACGATGAAAACGTGTTTGGCGAGAACACCCCGACACCGCCGCGTTGCAAAACGCCGCCAAAAGGGATGCTGTTGAACTCGCGACAGGCGAAGATGATCGTCGTGTTGAAGCGCTCCGGTTTTGCTCGATATATTCCTATATTTCTCGAGCAGGAAGTAAGTATAATTTCGATAGCAGACGCGTGGGGCGCTTCAGATTCTCACGTTCTAAAATTAAAATCGGCAAATCTAGCAATAGCGGCAAGTTTGATAGTCGCTCTAATTAGCTTCGCAATTAGCCTTTTACCGTAAAAGTTTAATAAACCATCGGTAGACTGTAATTTCTTTTCATACGTAAATCGTCCCTCGTTTCCTCATCTTAGGTGGACATGGATTTATTTCTAACGCTCACGAATAATGACTTGATAGAAATCGGTATCGAGCACAAGGAGGACAGGCGCGCTTTATTGGAAGCGATAAAGGAATATAAGAAAGAAACTTTAATCTAAATTATATTTAATTTGTAAGATAATACATTTTTAACACTTAATATTTGTGAGATACTTGTTATCCCCGTAGGGAAACGAATACGACGCGTTCTTTTTATTCTCTCTCTTGCTAAAAAATAATTTATAACTTATAATACAATTTTAGAATATTCAATTCTCATAACTATAATTTATTAAAATATCTACTTCATTCGTTAAAAGTTAGTGCTCCCTTTTAGCCATAAGAAATAATTTTTTTATCGAATAAACTGCATTTTATCAGATATGAGTAACAATAAAACGACACAATAATTTATAAGAAAAACTTTTCTTGGAAATTTCATATTTTTATTCGTCACTTCTAGCTTTCAACAGCTTTTCCTTCAAGCTTATCTGCTTAGGCTCCTTTTCCTTGACTGTCGTCTCGTCCTGCAAAAGTTATTCCATTTAACAACCGTTTTTTTTTATTAAAGATCACAGTAATTGTGCACAACGCGAGATTTACCGCGCGAGATCGTATTTCTTCGTTTCCGAAATAGCTCGATTTTCTTTCGTCTTTCGGCACAATCGTTTTGATGTCATCTACGTCGTGTAATATTGCCGACAGATTCCTAACGTTTTTACGTCGTTGTGATCTGTCCGTGGAACACATCGGACTGATCCCAAAATCGAAATCGCTGCACTCAGTGCCGCACGTGAACGAATCATCGGTCCTCGTTAACGACATTCGCGCCCGTTTAGTAGGAATTCCGCACGTATCAGCTATATAAAGCGGCGACGTCGCCATGTTGCTAACGGTTCTCGATTTCGTGCAGTATCCTGAGTCATACCCTGACAACTTGTCAGTCTTTGGTACTATTGGCGTGCAAACCTGAAGAGCCGCTCTGTACGTGTTCTGTAAAAGGAAAGGTATGTATAAAACAATCTCTTTTTTTTCGAGTGAGTTTCATGACTTGTCAACTTGATCTAGACGACACAATTTACTAACAAATGCCTTAAAGACGTTCTATCACTGTTAGACGTCTTTTGGATATCTTTAAGACATTTCATAAAGTATCGTAAGACTCGTAAGAACTTATGACTAGATCTGCAATTCTATGGGCCGATTGTTCCAACCTCTTGGTAAGTTACCTTACAAATAAATCATATGTCTGTCTCTGTCCAATTTGAAAAAAAAAACGAAGACAGACGAATGATTTAACTGTCAGGTAGCTTACGAAAAGGTTGAAACAATCGGCCCTATGTTGACCGTATGTCATATGATTTTAGTCATTCGTGCTTGTCTACGAATAAGAACAAAAAGAGGATGATAAGTAATTTTATGTTCTCACTTCGGGACATATGTCCAGTTGCTGGCCACACAGTTTGGACACCCTACTTCTTAACTCTCCCGCGAATCTGTAAATTATAGGCACCGGGTCCATCGAGGGTGGGAGAACGTGCAGAGGTCCCGAGGTCAGACACGTCTCAGGATATAGGAAGACTCTTGACTTGAAATAGACGAACTTGATATCGTAAAATAAGGATCCTTCCGCGCAGTCTGGCAGTACGTAACCGTGCTAAAATAAAGTAGAGCGTTTCTCAAGCGATTTACGGCGTCGCTCGACGACTAATAGCTTTATCGGCGAAGCGAATGTACGAAGTAAAGTGAAATTGATGTATAATTAATTTTTAACACGCGGATATATAACCATCCTGGTGATTACGCAAACCATTTCTCTCCAATATGTGCACATGTGCTCGTAGTCCTTGAACGGATGCTCCTTCTTGATTATCTTCGAGATCCTCAACACATTCGCCATTTTCATACTGCGAACAATCGTTTTGTAGAATCAACGAATCTAATTTATGCTGCAATTCTAAGCAAATATACGAGTAAATCGTAAATTCATAAAGTCGTAGCTTACGAAAAAACAAAAAAAAATCGTAGGTATTTACGAGTTATCATATGACATACGGTGAGCACAGGGCCGATTGTTCCAACCTTTTGGTAAGTTACTTGACAATTAAATCATACGTCTGTCTTCGTTTTTTTCTCCAAATTGGACAGAGACAGACACATGATTTATCTGTAAGGTAATTTACCAAGAGATTGGAACAATCGGCCCATAGAATTGCAGGTCTATTCATAAGTTCTTACGAGTCTTACGAGAACAAGTTATGAGTTTTACGATTTTGTCTAGAATTGCAGTATTAATTCAATTTCAATTTGTACGATCGACATATAATTTCGGTCACGTTCCGAAATATACTAATTGTACTAAAAATTTATATATTGAAAAAAAATTTATTCATATTAATAACATATTTATTCAACATTTTATTTAAAAAGAATAAATAATAAAAACATATAAAAACATCTTTAAATAAAATAAGATGTCTTTTGATAACATCTTTAAGACATTTTCTAGAAGTTTGTGCTATCTTGATTACATATATTGTACTGTAAATTTATAATTATATTAAATGTATTGAAAATATATTTATAACGTAGGTTTTACATATTATAAATTTTTAGTACTAGTACATTTCAAAATATATTCTTTGAGATTTCGCATTAACGCATATCGTCGTGACAAAATTTTTGCGATTCCGACGACTTACCTCGGTAAAACACGCACCATCAGTTGCGTATCGTGCTGCAAGGGACGCGCCGTGTTCAGTTTCACGAACGGTATTTTAAGATTTACGGCTTCCACCTGAAGCCGAGCACTATTACCTGCAATATTTTCACATTACACTCATCCTCGTCGCGGCGTGAAGTAACGAGAAGGATGAAGGATTCATTTCTAAGGTATATGTAAGTCAGCATTATTTGGTATCGTAAAAATGCTGTGTTTAACATCACTGTTAATTGAACGGCTAGATGTTTTACCGCGAATCTCCTTGATGTTCAACGTTATCGCGTTGACGCTTCCCGTCAAGCTGAGGAAATTTTGTCCTTCGACGAGGTAGAGCCCGACCTTGTTCCACCGCGGCGCCAATCTATACTCCACGGTGTACAGGAGACACGCTCTGTAAACGTCGGCCGGAACAGGATCCAATAAATCCATCTGTGTAATTATATGAGAATAATCAACAATCAATTCGCAATTTGGAATGAATAAACAATAATTTGTTTATCTCGCAAGTAACGGAATTCGGAAAGTCGCGAATTTCTCAGAATCACTTTGGATACGTGCCACTTGTATGTTCAATGCGTCACAGTGATCCTGGAACGTGTAGTCCGCAAAGAAGTCCTTCGTGACGATGATGTTCATAGTACCCCCGGCCGCGAGTATTTTCCGGTTAGTTACTGGGGCGGTCATTGCCTGAGGAGTTTCTTGAAGAAATTGTCTGAAAGCCGGAAGAAGCGTTTAGGATAATAGGAATTCGTTCAAGATATTCTTTAGAGCGATATACAAAAATGGACGCTTACCGACACTTAATTCTGTTCGCGCAAAAATCCGAATAAATTAGGGATTCGTTCTCTTGATTCAGGATCTTACAGATCGCACAACAAAGATTGTCCTTTTCTGGTACCGTAATTTCGAATATTTTCACGTTCGAAGTCATAATTAACCGCCGCAGAGATGATTGTATGTTAACAAGTAAAACGAATTACTGATACGCTTTTATATTTTAATACAAGTATGGCGGGCTCTGGGACTTTTTATTTGAAATCTTCTCTCGAAGTCCGCTTGCGATTAGTCGTTAGTCTTCTCTCAGCTGCACTGTATTGCACTTTCTGTACTTCAAAGAGGAATTGACTAGTCGAGGATTTGCACTGCGTCCGACATCCGACGATACGATATTCAATAGTAGAGTTTTTTTGCTAAAGTTTCTAGCTAACAACATTTTTGTCTTCAGAAAACCAATTCTCTTATTGAATATCGGACACAATGTGAATTCTCCATAAGGCCAATGCTCTGTTTTTTTTAACTGCACTGCTGGGGCTTTATTCTCGAAAAATATCACATACGATATTTCTGTGAAAAGTTATAGTTCATGTTACATATATTATAGCTTTTCATAGAAATATCGTATGCGATATGAGAATGAGGCCTCTGAACTGATACAATAAGTTATTGTAAGAAAAAAAATATTTATCTCATTTTAACTTATTGCACTAATTCAGCAGTGCAGCTAAAAAGGACAGACCACAATATTCATAGTCGAATCTTATGTAGGATTCACACCGCGTCCGATTTCCGACGTATGACATCCGATATCCAATAAGAGAACAGCTTTCTAATAGAGAATTCAATCCTCCATTATATTTAAGACAGTTTAAGTTCACTTTCAAATGATATACGGATCCTTTCATTAGCTATAGATTATCTGAAAGGGAACTTAAAGGCCGATTTATGATGGCTGCAACTATTAACTTATACTATAATCCATAAGAAATTGACCAATTGTAGTCGATTATTACAAGAATAGTCAATTGCGATTGGTCCGTTTCTTATGGATTATACAACATAAGTTTACGGTTACGGCCATCATAAATCGACTTTAAGACGGTCTTAAATATAAAGCCCATTCTACAATTGCGTAAGCGTAGTCGTGATCGTAAGAGTCAACCAATCCGAATGTTTTATTTACTGACTGCTTTATTCTGATTGGTTGTCGTAATCACATACAATCACTTACACCACGTTCACGCAATTGTAGAATGGGCTTAAGACCCAACTATGGCTGCGTTAAAAAATTCACTGCCAGTGCTGAAATTCTATAGTATACATAAACTATAGATTTTCAGTACTGGCAGTGAATTTCGGAACGCAATCTTCGAATAGCGGCTTATGATTGGTCAATTTTCTCACGACCTTATGGCAGTGGATGTCTCAGGTGACATTTCCGAACGCACCTCAGATCAGAAGGCTCTTCACTTTTGAAATAGAATATTCAACAGCAAGTCAGATATTCTTTTACTTTATTTTGAAAAACAGACAACATTCAACTTCTAAAAATGACGTTATTAAAATAATTCGGCAAATATTTTATAGTTTAAAGTCCTTAGTTCTTTATCGTGTTAATATCATATTTTTATCGTTGTTTTTGCCAAAATTGTTTACATTTATTGCACCAGTGCAGCAAGTTTAGCTGGAGAAATAAGCTGTACCAAAATTTTTGTACATTTAATATATATGTAAATAATGTTCAAGACATTAAAGAATGCTGTTTGCTTGGAAAAGGCTCTACCTAAATGTAATAGAGTCAATAAGTACAGCCAACAGGTTCGAAATTTGCGATTATACTTTATCCTAACCTACAACTATTCTGAAACTAAACTTTGTTTTATCCATTTCTAAAGGAAGATACAATGCTCCAGATTTAATTAGTTTTAATTACATTAATTATTTCAATTATGTTGTCATTCAAGAAGAGAATTTAATTCATTGTATTATTACAGCTTGCCAATGTCATCTTTATTAAATATGTCTATTTGCAGGCAACGCAAACTCAAAATCACAAAATATTATTCTCTGGCATTCAACCTACAGGCAGTGTACATGTAGGCAATTATTTTGGTGCAATTCAAAGATGGGTAGATCTCCAAAATAATAGTGACAAGTTTATATGCAGTATAGCAGATCTGCACTCAATCACCTTACCGCAAGTAAAGATACAGAAAATTAAAAATTTCTACTCTAGGATTATCACCGATATTATTTACGAACAATATGTGATCCGTAGGATCCAAAAAAATTGAAAGAGAATATTCTGCTAATGACTGCAACTTTATTGGCTTGTGGTATAGACATTAAAAAGAGTATTCTTTTTCAACAATCCAGAGTATCGGCACATGCAGAACTGTGTTGGGTTCTGGGTTGTATCACAACTATGGCTAGGCTGGCACACTTACCACAATTCAAAGAAAAGAGTGAATCCTTAAAAAATATTCCTCTAGGCCTGTATATTTATCCTGTTTTGCAAGCAGCTGATATATTGTTATATAAGTAATTATTTCAATATTGCATCAATCATTATGCTAAAGTATGGTAAATTATATGAAGGCTTTTTCTCTCAGAGCAACAGATGTTCCAGTTGGACAAGACCAAGCCCAGCATGTGCAACTGGCACAGGATTTAGCACGAATATTTAACAAAAAATTCGGAATGACTTTTCCGATACCGCATGTCCTAGTCAGTGGTAAGTCTCTTTGAAAATATAGTTTTAAATTTTAGTAGAGCTCGATTTTGTGCAAATGTTGACTGATGAATTGTGACATTTCCAGATGGTCCAAGTCAGAGGATCAAGTCGCTACGTGATCCTATGAAAAAAATGTCGAAGTCGTACCAGGACGCCAGGAGTAGACTAGATATTCTAGATAATCCAGATATGCTACTGGAGAAAATGAAAAAGGCTGTGACCGACTTCACCTCCGAAGTGACCTACGAGCCGGAAACGCGACCGGGAATAACTAATTTGATTAATATACACTCTTTATTCACTGGAAAGACGCCAGATGAAATATGCAAAGAAGCTACAGGATTGAATACGGGACAGTGAGTATAAAGACTGTGTGAATAAAAGTATCATTTCCGGATCGTAGAAATCAGTACTTTTATCTTACGACATGATCGATTATTTCTGAAAACATTTCTATAAGTAAGCAGTGAAGCTCCTAATCGTACTTGACTATAATTGATGCATATTTAAATACCCTTAGGTATAAATTAGTCGTGGCGGATGTAGTTATAGAAAAATTAACTCCGATTCGTCAACAAGTATTGAGATTGCTCAAGGAACCCGTTTATCTGGAGGAGGTTTTGAAGGAAGGCTCGGATAAAGCCACAAATCTTGCGGCGTATTGTTGGACAGAAGTTGCAGACAAAGTCTTCGGTAGCGATTCGATACGAGATGCAATGATTATTGCAAACACTGCGATTGTCAAGATATAACTACTTATTGCATAAATAAATGATTTAAATTATTTATTGTATAGTAAATTGCTCTTTTCAAAAAATAGACATGCATTTTATATTTATTCAAAGTTTCTATAGCTATATATAAAGTTAAAATTGCGTTACAAGGTTAATCGTCTCGCGTTGTTTTCATGTCAACTACTAGCTTGCCTCTCATATGACCCTGATTCATTCTTTTATACGCGAGCGACAAATCTTGAAAAGGATACACTTGCTGAACAACAGGTACGATCTGCAGAAATGTAAGATATAAAATTGCAAAGTAGTTATCTGCAGAATAGATTTAGGAAACTTGCAGACACTGATATCCTACCTTTCCATTTTCTACGAGCTCTTGGATAACACTGATTCCTCTTTGACTCGGTAAGAAAAATCCCCACTTGACGCAGCCTTTATTTTGCGTTATTGGGATATTTAACTTGACAATATCGCCAACATTCTGAAAAGCTCCCAGGACTAGTCCATACTGATCAAAGTTTTTCAACATCGGCGAGCTCAATGTTACATAAGTATTATATGGGTATCCTTTCATCCTGACCTGCTCTGGCCCCTGCCTGGCGCAATCTAAGATTATGTCGTACCTGTAGTTCATCAATGAAACATTTAACAGCTTCATATTAATACAATAAATTTTAATCTGATGATAAAGTCACGTACGGCCCTTCTGAGATGATTTGTCTGTCGGCATCTTCCTGCTTGTAATCGATCACGACGTCGGCACCTAAATTCTGTAGGGTCTCCACAGCGTCACTGCTGCAGGTGGTAATTACCTAAAGAAATTTCATGCTTCATATGCAACAGACTATCGCGCCAGAGGTATGCATAAATATATACATTCATGTTCCAAGCTTTCAGAAGCTGTATAGCTATAGTCCCAACACCTCCTGAACCTCCCATGACCAAGACACGCTTGTTCCTTGTAAATAGTGCTGTTTTGTAATACAATCCTCCCGTGTACCACAGTGCCGACCATGCAGTCAATCCGGCATACAAAATACTCGCGGCTTCCGTGTAAGACAGTCTCTGAGGGCGTGAACGCACCTTGCAATGAAAAACAAGCATCACTTGTTATCAGTTATCATGATGGAACATATGATGAATTAAACGTACAGTGATTACAATAAATACAATATGCTAACTAGATATTCAATATTTGAGCAATAGGATGTATCTTACTATATCACTATTAACAACAACATAATTTGCATGGCAGCCTTGTTGCTCTAATGGGACTACACCCCAAACTTCTTCACCTAGCTTGAATTTGTCTCCTACGTTGAATCCCTTTGATACAACTACTCCTGCAAAGTCTCTGCCCAATGTTAAAGGTAACTCTAACTCATCGTGTGCTCTTGAACAATTTACTTTACGCATCAAGTTCAGTGTAGTCGTACCATAACCATCTAGAAAAAAATATATATGCTTCTGTTGTGGCTTACAAACTTGAGTCATAAAAGGAGCATTTTGTTACAAAAGTGTGGACAAAACCAAAAGAATTTGAAAAATATATATAATACTCTTTGTATATATATAAGTGACTCATAATGTTGAATGCTTTTAAAATAAGTGACTGATGTCAATCAAGAATGCAATACTCGTCATTGCGATGTCGATGGGATTCACGCTGGAGGCTTCCACTTTTACCAGGACGTCCGTCGGATTTCTAATTGTCGGCATTCTGACATTGGTAAGTTGCAAGTCGTCCACCCCATTGTACGAATGTATCTGCCAGGCTTGCATCCTGTCTTCCGAATTATTCTCCAATTTGTTCGCTAACTTCGTTAAGGAACGAAGCCATATCAAACGAGAAGTGCATTTTAACATTGAAATCGTCTTAGGCAACATCTCGTTTCAATATCTCATTAAGTGCTCGAAGAAGCAAAGTATTTAAAGTTAGATTTGTATGTAAACCATTGTTAGAGGCGTTGAGACAAAAAACAAATGAAAGCAATGTGACATGTGCGTGTTGCGTACGCAACCTCTAGATTTGCCACTGAAGTATCTATGTCACACAAATATCAGGTACCTCGAGGATCCTTTATAAGAGAAATAGATAATAAATCTTGTAAAATAATTCAAAATGATTTGAGTCCTGGCTAAATAAATTTTTGCAGATCTTTATTCAAAATCTAGCAAATTAACGGTCTGTAAGAGTTAAACATAAACAAATCCTGAGTTGACTTTGGAGACATCGTGCAGCGAGAGCACGAAGCATTAGATATGTTCTTTTGCTCTGCACTGCTGCACTGGTGTAATAAGTTAGAGTGAGACAAATATATATTTATCTCACTCTAACTTATTGCACCAGTGCAGCAGTGCAGGCAAAAGAACAGACCAATTGCCTCTGTAGGTGTATCCATACACACGCCGCACACAAGCGCATTATTCGCGCGGACGCAAGAGCAGAAAGGTTAGGTCAAGTTAGCTAGATAAAGACAAACTATAACGCCATCCTTATCTCTTCTTAAGACCATCACACACAAAATTACATAGACGCATATGCATAGCATAAGATAGTATGGATCAATGAGCATCGAATATTAAGTATCAATCATCAATATGGCGACTTAATATTCAATATTCAGAATTTCAGTACTGGCAGTAAATTTCGGAACATAGCTTTTGTTACGCTTCTGCCTTCTCGGCCGAGGGCCTGGAAAACATTTTCTAGCCGAGTTATCATCTACGAAATATATAGGAAGCGAACCGTAATGAGGGGATGGATTAACGCACCTGACGTCACGACTAAGGGCTATCGCACACAAATTGACATAACTGCATATGCATAGCATAAGATCGTATGTACCAATAAGCATCGAGTATTAAGTCGCCATATTTATGTTCGATGCTTAATATTCGATGCTCATTGGTCCATACGATCTTATGCTATGCATATGCAGTTATGTCAATTTGTGTGCGATAGCCCTTAGTCGTGACGTCAGGTGCGTTAATCCATCCCCTCATTACGGTTCGCTTCCTATATATTTCGTAGATGATAACTCGGCTAGAAAATGTTTTCCAGGCCCTCGGCCGAGAAGGCAGAAGCGTAACAAAAGCTACATTCCAAAATTTACTGCCAGTACTGAAATTCTATAGTATACATAATATGAATTAGAGATTTTCAATACTGGCAGTAAATTTCGGAACGCAGCCAAAGGTTGTAAGCACCTAATTTTTAAAAGTAATATAATATTCATTACATGCACAATATATAATAAATCATCTGATATAGAACATGTTTGTTCGAATGGTGTGATACAAAAGCATAAGCGCCTATTATATTTGACTTATTTAGCCGAGACACAAACCATTTTAATTTGAAATTCAACTAAGGCCTGGTTGCACCAACATTATTTTGGCTTTAAGCGAAACTTAAACATATATCTATCTTTACCTTTCTTTCTATATAAATAAAGATAAATATATATTTAAGTGTCACTTAAAACCAAAATAACGTTGGTGCAACCGAGCTTTTTGCAGAAGTCTGCAAAATAGTTTGAATCGAGACGCAAACCATTGTGGTTTGAAGCTCGACTATAAATATTGAAAAATGGTTTGAGTCTCAGCTAAATCAATTTACGAGATTTTAGACAAGATCTGCAAGAATTGATTTAGCCGAGACTCAAACCATTTTGGACTTATTCAAGACACAAACTATTTTAATTTGAATTCCGATTTAAGTTTTAAAAATGGATTGAGTGTCAATTATATCAATTTTTCATTATTTTCAATAAAATCTTTTAAAATAAGTTTAGCCGGGACTCAAAAATATTTTATGTAAAATGCATAGCAATATACAAAATTTATATATATATATATATATATATATATATATATATATATATATACATATATATATTTTATTTTATAGATATATGTGACACAATATTGTGTTATTGCATTACATAATAACATATTTATTATTGTTACAAATAATTCTGTACATATGTGTATATAAATATATATATATATATATATATACATATTACTTTCGTAAATTGCAACATTTTTATGAATACAACATTTGATAAGGTTTTTACGCCGCATCCAATTATGTATATGTTAGAATTATTTTCTGTAAACACTTTCTTGGGATATGTATTGTAAGCGTCACGCTATAAGTAGTTGCAGACACGTCGCGTCTATACGAAGTACTATGTACAAGTAGTCTGACGCAACGCGTCTGCAACTACTTATAGCATAGCATTTACAAGCATCTTCAATATATAATTAAAAAAAAAATTGTATTAAACATGACTGTGTGAATTTAAATTAAAACTCACTTTATATGATTATCTTTTTGCACATTGATTTGAAATTGATGTGAAATTGATTAAAATAATAAAGAGTAAAAATTTGTTAAGAATATGTATAACGTACCTCGAAAAATATCACAATTTTATCTTTAATAACATAACAATTTTAAAAATATTCGTTCCCAACCCTAACAGCACAAATATCCAAGAAACGTCCAGAGTACATCCTGGGGACATTTCTACGTCCTCAGAACATCTATGGGACGTCCCCAAGAGATTCTGTGCTGTATGGGAATCTATTTCATCAAAATTATCTTCAAGGAATTGCTCAAATTCTTAAGCATACAAAAAGATATATGTAAATAAATACGTGTTTCTCATTATTTTTAACTGCTCTACAACACATTTTATACATATATATTTTAAAATCTGTTAATCCAAAGCATATTAAAATAGATGAAACGTTTCAAAACATCCCCTTAAAGTATTTTCTTCCGTTTTTATGTAAAATTATGGATTCATGATTTATTTATATTACTAATAACAGTTCCCTATTATCTCGTTGCAGGGCACCGACTATTGTAATCTCGTCCCTGGGTCGGCAAGGAATGGTCTGAACGATGTAAGGGAGAAAATGAGAGAGGACGTAACAGAGAAAGATAGATACCGAGAGAGTGAGGAGAAGTGAAAGGGTGAAGACGAGAGAACATTGCGAAGGAGAAGTAGAGAGAAAGGCTGGCGAGAGTGAAGAAAGGGGACGAGAGAGCGGGGGATGATGAGGGCGACGGGAGCGGCACACGGAGAACGCGTATAGTGGGGCGTACCGGTGCGATGGCGGTATGAAGGGGGGCGCATCGCGGGCGCAGCAAGAGAGGATATTGACATTTTCGGCCGAGGGGCGCGCATCGCGGAGGAGGCAAGAGGGTGCGCCAGAGGGTGGCTGCGGTGAGAGACGGGGTGAACGGTAAGTGGGAGGGTGAGGGGGTGCGCGCGCGACGGGGCAGTCGCCTCTCCCTGCCGGATCCTGCAGTATCCATGGCTACGTCGTCCGCGAGGATTTCCCGCGAAAGATCGGAAGCGTGATCACGGCCGAGGCTCGGTGATCCATCGGGGGTGTGTGTAAGCAGAGCAGGCAGACAGGCGACAGCAGCAACATCGTCAGCGACAACAGCGACGACATCAGCGGCGACGAGAGTGCCGTGGAAAGCGGCATCCGGGTAGCTTTCCGTCGTTCGTCGCGTCTTATCCCGGTGGGTTTCGCGACAGAGTTGCTTGCTCTTTCTCTACCCTCGTTCTCTTTCTCCACCCCTCTCCTTTTCTCTCTCGCTCTCTTTCTCTAGAAACTGGGTGGATACCGTGCTTCATTCCCCTCCGAATTGCCACCCCTTCCCTTAAGCTACCGCGGAGGACACGTAACCCCAGCCCTACCACCCCCAAGCCCCGCTGTAGCCGTCACCGCCGCCGCCCACGGCCTCCTCCCTGGCTCTCGCGCGGCGCTTCAGCATCCCTCCGACTCTCCGTCTGTCCTTCCTCGCCGTGGTGGTATTGTCGCGAGGACTCTCACTCGCGGCACCAGGCCAGGTGCACGGCCGAGTGCCCGCTCTCTCTCGTCGGAGAGTGCTGCCGAGGCGCCGGCCTATCTTCACGGGGTAGCAGAAAGCCAAGGAGGAAACGTCGTCGTGTCGGTGAGTGTGAGTCATCGTCCCTCGTTCTCGCGGCGAAGTGCACATGTACGTACACCATCCACGGGGATGGTTGTGGAGGATAAAGGTATAGCGGATAGAAAGAGGGAGAGAGAGAGGGAGAGAGCGAGAGAAAGAGGGCGAAAGGGGAAAGTAGATAAAGTTGAATAAATAAACAATTAGACACGCAGAGAAAGGAGGAAAGTAATTAAACGGGAACATACCAACCACTGACAGACGGAGGACACAGGAGAGACGTTCTCTCCTCATCGACGTGGTGGGTGACGCGGGGCGTTGATCGTATACATACCGGCGCTGACTGGTAGTGGTGTGGCAGTGGTAGTGGTGGTGGTGGTGGTGGTGCTAGTGCTGCTAGTGATGGTGGTGGTGGTAGTGGTGCATCCCGCAGTGTGTTTACCCAGGGTGAGGTGCCTCGCGCGCGCGACTAGGCGGAGTCGCGCCTCTCCGTCCGCTCCCGCTTCCGCTTTCGCGTCTCCCCGTGACCGCTTCGCGACGGAAGAGCGGCGACGAGGAGCGACGTGTACCTAACCGTGACCCGTTCTGCGTATAACACTCCACCTGTCTACCTGTCTATCTTTCTGCCTACCAGCTTGTCTACCTACCTATTTATCTATCTGCTTATCCATCCACCTACCTGCTTACCTCGCACCTAACGTTGACGTGTCAGAAGAGGCGTTGCCGCGGCGGCCGAGCGGTCTCCACCCCCGAGAAGAAGCCGGATATACCTAACCGACCATCACCTTCTCGAACTTCTGCGCATTCCGCTTGCCGAGTTCGTCCTGGAAGGACCTTTGCCTAAGGACACGTCCCAGGTATCAGCAGCGCAAGTCGATAATGATCACGCGGCGACACGAAGGCGTTGGCTCGTCTCGCGCCTCTCCGTTCGCGTCCTAGAAGCGCACGAATCTACTGTGACCTTTCGGTTAGCTGGCTCCACGATTGAAGTTCGATTCGCTGATGGAGATTCGCTCTGTTCTGCAAACGCCAGCACGGAAGCTCTGAGGACGCCAGTGAATATCCAAGACGGCTGATCTCTCTATCTCCCTCTCTCTTTTCCTCTCTCTCTCTCTCTCTCTCTCTCTCTCTCTCTCTCTCTTTCTCTCTCGTTCCTTCCTGCGGTGTTTCGGCGCATCGCGCTCACGAGAGTCGCGCGAGAAGACCCCCCTGCTTCTCGCAAACGCTAGTATCCAAGGATGAAGTCGTGAGTCGATAAAACTCACCAAGCGACGTGGAAGGCGTTGCCTCTTCTCTCTCTCTTTCTCTCTTTCGGCTTCTCGGTTCTCAGTTCCCGTTGTGCATCCTAGAGATGGTGTGCATGTATTTTTCATAATCCTTTTGTGATCTGGTGCGGAATTTCGTCCGGTTTGACGAACGGGAACGTCTATTCTGAGGACGCACCGATTTCCTGAAAGGGAAGAATATATAGTGAATACGCCTAGTCTCGTCGCGCTTTCCTTCCACGTTCGATGGCCATTGGTAAAAGGGGAAACCATCTCGAAAGAATTTCATATTACATTGCGAGATTGTCGCGTGGGATCCTAGGTGAGTAAAAAGGAGTGCAATTATTTACTCTTAGCTGTGTTCTCGATCTGGGGTGGAAACTAACCCCGTACAGAACGACGTTAAACTGAAAATGAAAGACAGAGCATTAAAATATGTCTCCCTCTGGGAGACATCTTTCATTTATCGACATATTTCTCAACGGATCACTTCTATTCGAGATGACTTGACGATACGCGCATATTGTTTCAAACACACGCATGCACACATACTCACATACTGGTTGAAGCTATCCTTGGACTGGATAAACTTAATGCGTCCGACGAATTTGCGAGTTTAATTTTCAACGAACAACGAAGTCTACAAAATTAAGCACGGTCAAACCGAATAAGAACGAGTAACCCTTTAATTCATCTGCGCTTTTGCGCGACGACCTGCGACACTGTAAGGATCCGGGGAGGCTTATAGTCAACACAAACGGCAGTCACGCACCTGTCATTCATGTTTAGCCACAAACGACGAGTAACCATGTCTCCGTCGAAATCGATATAGTGTTTAGAAAGCTTTCTTATTCTTTCCCTCACCGTCTCTCGTCGTCTCCCTCGATCTGTCTTTCTCCCTTTTCCTCTGTCTCTCTTCACGCCCACACCTAGGCCGGTCGTACGCCTACCTTTCGTGTTCCCCGACTTTCGACGAGCGGACTACGGACTTGACTAAGGCTCTGTACCTATGTTTGTCTCTGTTCGACGCTACGCCCACGCTTATCATAATTATCGTGTTGTCATGCTAGCAGAGGCTCGCCGATGATTCACGCAAACCTCCCGTCCCCGATCGTGTCCCGATATATCGTTCTCGACTCGCTCGTGCGTGCCGACGACGACGATGACGACGGCAGCGACGACGTTGTTGCGACTTTCGCAGACGACAGACAACATACCGCCGCGATTTTCCACCGTCTCCGTCGCCCATAATTAATCCTTTGAGACCCCGGTCACATGGTGCCACGCACCGTTTGACATTTATCCTTTCTAATCGCCTCTCGTGCAATTAAGCGGTATACATGCGCCGCCCGTGAATCCCGCTTTAGCCCGGAATAAGGCTCGATGATGTAAAAAGCTTAGGTAACAATCGCCAATCTGAAAATAAATTGCCGTTTTCGGCTTGAAAAGAGAGAGAGAAAAATCTATACCCGCTAGATCTTGAACTGATAAATTCACGGAGTCCTTCCGCAAAAGAAGGATGGTCAGTCGATGGACAAAAGATGGTCCCATCTGAAATACTCAGACTTGAATTCAGAATTTGGGTATGAATTTTTCAGTTGAATCATGATTACAAGTACAATGTCATGTATATCATGTGATTCAACTAAAAAAATTCGGGTTTAACTATAAGTTCTGATCTGAGTATCTCATGTGAGATAAGTTGCGAGTAACGACTATCAATATGAGTCTTCGTATATCAGACCCTTATTCTGAGCTTTCTTTTATCGATAAAAGTGCCTGTGAGTGTGCTTACAAGCCAATCAGAAGGCTTATGAGCCGCATTTAGAGCCACTTTAAATACTTAAAGTACCTAACGCGTGTGCACGTAATGCTGACAGTAATTACTAAAACACCATCGATGACGCTCAAGACTATGAAGAAGATTAATATTACAATTACAGACAGAACAGCCGGACACATCATCCCCGTCGGTCAGAAAGATTGTTCGCGTGCCAATTTTACATATTACAGCGATGAATGGAGCATACGCTTGAAAATAAGCCAACTACGTTGACGTTGACGGTTTCCGTTCCCGCGGGACATTTCAAGCTTAGCAGGCGAACCGGGCCGGACTGGACCGTATCTAGTCGGTGATGGATGCACGGGATGAACGCTCCGCGAGAGCCCGGGATACGTTCTCGGTATTGTCGAGAGAGCATCCCCGAAGAAATGATGTATTACGCGGTCGAGTGGGGCGGTTCAGTAACCCTCCGGTGGCGCTACCCCTTTTATTATCCACGACACATCTGCACAATGCCTCACGCGCGCTGTTGACCCTCCCTCACCCCCGGTCTGACGTTGACGGCTTCGGCCGAACGCTACAATGAGATATCGTGCCTGCAACGGCTCGCGGCGACTCACGATAATCGATAGCACGTTGCGAAAGAAGAACGCACCGCGGCTCGTAGGTGAATGAAGCCGTAACGACGAGAACCATCGTCGTCGTGCCAACGTCGTCGGGTCGTTAACGTTAAACGCTCGGCGGTTCGCTCGCGACCGGCTGATATCCTTGCGAGAGTTCGCCCGAGATAGCTTTACTTCCGTCGAAGTTTAATAGATCCTCATCAGCGTCCCGGAGACTGATCGATATTCATGGTGTTGTAAATTAGTTCATTGGAAAAAGACTCGACCTCGCCGAGGTACGAGTCAAATCGGGCGCGAGGCTGTAACGCGCGCAGGGACCTTATCCAGGACGCGCATCGAACGCTAAATATGCCTTTCAGACTTTCAAGCTAAGGCAACGTTGCACGTGTGACGCTTGTATAAGAAAAACGAAACTTGGAATTGAAGGACTTAACGCGCGCTGTGCGTCCAGAACAGGGCGCCAAACCGGAGAGCGCGTTAAGTGAATACGGTGCGACTATGGTCGGACATCCCTTAAGTCTTGCGCGCGCCCGGGCAGAAACTAATAATCTCTCAACCTGAGATCTAGCAACTTTTTATCATTTTTTCGTTTATTCGTCTTGAAGTAACGTTGTACGAGTACAACTAATCATAATAAACTACTTAAGAATATTAATATATTATAATAAACGCACGCACGCGATGTCTGGACGTTCACCCAGGCGCGGGTCTTATTATTTTCTTGCTATTTTCTCTTGCCTATTTATAAATCATAATTCTAAGTGATAACATTCGCTTGCTTTTTACGATATGAGTTTGCGTGTTACTCGCGACTGATCATTTCACATTTGTTCACAGCGATCATGCCATGGGCGAGCTGATGACTTTCGACGCCTGCAATGATGTGACAATAAAGATACCTCGTTCTACTGTCTAATAACTCGGGGATCGTCCCAATCGCACAGTGCTTCCTAAGAAAAAGAACACACTTACACACGCACACGCGCACACACATATACACACACACACACACACATACACGCACATACACACACGCGATCCGAAGATCACGCGCAAAAAAGCAACGCCAAACCGCCGGCCGTGGTCGGCGTTGTGGAGATCGGTGCCAAAAGTCAACACGGACAAGCCGCAAGAGCCAATTCCGCGAAACTGTGTCAAAGAAGAATCGAAGAGGGTGGAACGGAGAAGAGATAGAACGACACACAGAGGGAGAACGAGGGAGAGGGGTAGCGAGGGAGGAAAAGAGAAAGAGAAAGATATACAGCCGTAGCGAAGGGGAGAAGTGGGATCAGGCGGATATCCCGGGGAACGAGTAGAGAACGGGCGAATATACGTGTGGCCAGGAGCGTGTTAGCTAAGGAGTGTCGAGCCGGAAACACGAAGCCGGGCATCACGAGCAAAGGGGTGGTAGAAGTGGCAGTGGTGGTGGTGGTCTCGCGGTGGTGGTGACGCAGAGCGGCGAGTTCTAAACCGGAATAATAGCAGTTAGAATGGGCAACAAGCTGTCCTGCAGTTGCGCACCCTTAATCAGAAAGACGTATCGCTACGAGGATTCCCCATGGCAGGCCGGTGCCAGGGGCGGGATGGGCGGCGGCGGAGGGCGCAGGGGTGACACTGGCCACTTGCTCAGGTGCGGAAGCTTAAGAGAGAGGAAGAGGTGCGCATACCATACCATTCAACCATTGAATCACTCTCCACTCGACCATGTTACCACTCTTTCTCTTCGATGACCACTCGTACATATTTGTGACTGAATGCATTATACTGACTCTGACTCTCTCTCTCTCTCTCTCTCTTTCTCTCTCTCTAGTCTTTCGTTTCTTTCCTTTTCTATCTCTTCTTTTTGACTTTATTCTTGATATTCGTCGACAGCATGAATAGTAGATAGTAGCAAAGCCGGGAGACAAGAATAAAAGCACTTAATTGATTGATTTTGGTGAACAATTTTGGGCAGCAAATGCGCGTGGAAGAAGAGATGTCGCGATTGTAATTAAATTTTGCTCAACGGCGGTTCGAGAAAGAAAAAGCGGAAACTGTGTAATGTAAGAAAATCGATCAATTATTGACCCATTTCTGTATGAAAATCAACGTGCTGCAGACCTAAAGAAGCTTTTTTGGGGTATCTTTTGGTCCTTTAGGGCCAAAGATCATTTTTGTATCATTTAGGATGTTAGTCGATAAAAGTTCCAATAAAAGACTGCAACGTGCAAGTATACACAAGTAAATGAAACATATATTACAGAATCCCCCGCAGGTGAATCCGCAGAGCGATTGTACGACCTAACGAGATAAAAGTAAATGTCCCGCTTTGTCGATATTATCGTTGATTTTACTTTAGTGGATGCTCTCAGGCGTTTATTGAAAAATTAAGTATTTCGCAGTCAAGGCTTATATATTATTTTGTAGCGTCTGGTGAGAAAGCTATATGACGTTTTTCTCTCTGCCTCTCCGACTTATATATCGAACGTCGGTACGCGTGGAATCAAATGTCGCTTTTTATTCACGTCACCCAGGCTGTCTCGCATTCCCCTTATTCATTCGTTCTCTCCTACTTTTACCCCTCTCTCTCTTTCTCTTTTTATCTCTCTCTCTCTCTCTTGCTGCCTCTTTTTCTCTTTATCTTATTTGCTGGTGCTTACGTCTTTAATCCTCATCTTCTCTTTGTTTTCCATCCTTTGCTTTTTTTCACGGTCAATCAAGCTATTGGTCTATTCATCAGAGCCGTTAGTCCGTTTTACTTATTCGTATCGAAATAGGCTTAGTTAACTTCGAAGGTAATGTCAACTAATATCGACGATTTCGCTTATTTTGCCCAAACATAATAAAGGATAAAGAACATGAAATAAAAATTCTGCTTTTGCAATAATTGTGATAATTGCTTGGTTTGTGCTAGTCTAGCGTTTAGCCTAGATTCCACTTGGTTTTAATCAAACGAAATAACAAGAAGATAAAATTTACGCGTTGATGAGTATTTTTACGATCACGTCATATTGTCGTCGCCCTCTTTAAGTCCAAATGCTCGTGTATATGTGCATACTCCTATACAAATATACTATTTACTTAACACTTCACCCGTACACGTAACGCTTCGCATGATTATTAGTATTTTAGCGCAATTTCGATCTAACTTGACCTGATTCGATGTATAAAATTCGATGATGTAACGAAAGAATGTATAATTATCGTTAAAGATTTCATGCAAATACGACTCGCAAATTTTACTCGTATTGCATACGTGTAACGGGTCGATTCTGAAGAGTTCTGTTCGATTTTTTAGTCAAATTTCATTCCACTAGAAACAAACCGTTTATCAAACAAGTAATCACCTCCATGGTTATCTTCTGCCATGCTGCTTTTTGATCCGACGTTTTGGCAGCAGAAAATTATCAGTATTGTTGTCCGTCTTACAAATACTACATAACTACTGTTAATAATCAAACCGAACTTTTTGATTGACTCAATATACACACGCGATTTCTGTCGATGCATGTGACAACTTTTTAGAAATATTATTTATCACAAAATATCGATATATTTGCGAGCCACGTCGTATGAAAATATTGTGTCTACCACGAGGAAAGATTAATTATCTCAAAATTATAAATGTTGTTTTTAACTTTTCTCTCTCTCTTTCTCCTTCATTTCATATCAACAGCGTGGTTCCTGCTCTATCTTCTCACATTTCCTCTTAGAACTTCTCCTTAACGGTGTGTGTTGATGTTCGCGAGCCACGTTGTCGCAACGCATGATGTAATGACGAGAGTTTTTAGGCTATGGGCCGAAGTGTTCCATGTAAACGCAAGCGGCACTGGGACCGTCAAGTGGCAGCAGGTGTCGGAGGATCTGGTACCGGTGAACATCACCTGCATACAGGACTCACCGGAATGCGTCTTCCATATTACCGCGTACAACAGCCAGGTCGATAAGATCCTAGACGTGCGGTTGGTCCAGCCAGGTGAGCCATAATTGCAACATATCCCGCAACATTCTCAAATTAAAGCCGATCGCTTGTTTTCGCAAATATTAAAATACGAAATCTCGTATACTGCATATTTTTCTAAAAAAAAGACAATGCACAACAGAGCTTTATCAAAGCAAAAGAATTTTTTTTTTTTCATAATAAATATTTCTTTATAATTTTAGATTTTATCAAAGAAAGGAAACCATATATATATGTAAATATACTTTTTACAAAGTTCTATTGCTTCCTTTATGAAATACACGGTATGCAGAATTTTGTATTTTAACGATCGCGAGGGAGAGCGATCGGCTTTAATTTTAGAATAAAAATACACTCTTGGAGCTGCGTTTACTCTCATGCGGGTCAATTTTCACACTAGAATTCGCGATACTCAAATTTCGCGCAGATAAATTTCCCGCGGAGGAGACGCGACTAAGATGAACAATCTCGCAAGATAATTAACGTCGCGTGATTACGTTTAAGGTACGCGTATCGGCCAGGCGTCAGAGTGCTTTGTCTACTGGAAGGATACTGTGACAAACGACACGTGGGGACTGAACTTCACGTCCCCCATAGACGCCAAGCAATTCAGAGAATGCTGCGTAAGTTTAGTGAGAAATTACACTCGCAACACGCATATTGTTATGTTATTACATCATTATCTCTCTATATATCCACATTGTGCCAACTTATTTCGCTATCATCCTCGCCTAAATCTCCGCCAATGTCTCATTCCGAGATGTGCGCGAACACCGCGCGTGAGGAAGTTGACGGTGTTAAGGACGACACACAAGATCCGATACAGTCCGTGATCCGAATTAGGTCATTTGCAGTCATTAGTTAATTTTCCATACAGTCACCATCGTTCAAGATTACAAGGAAAGCGTCCTCTTCTTACTCGTTGAAGCTCGAGCCACCGAACAAGCAGAAGATCAAAACGCGCCGAAAGCCTCTGTCGACGCCAGCCTCGCCGAGCCGATCCAGAGAACCACAATGCACCTGCATGACGCCAGAACAATTCGCCAGACTACGTAGCCAAGATTCCAGATATCGGAACTCATGCGGTAATAATGACAACATGAATAAAAAAATAAGGAAATCAAATTAAAACGGCGAGCGCGCGCGCTCGCGACTCGGCAGACTCTGTCGGGATTGCGAGAGGCGTGTTCATCGTAAATAAATAATTCCATTTTCGCTCCTTGACCCGCTCGTTAAGTTTGGCTAATGCTATTCTAGGTCCGGTTTATACTATTTCAGGGCCGTCTACGCTTCCACGGACTATGGCGCGATCTACAGAAATAGAAATGACTCCGGGACGGGACAAGATCACGGCGGCTACATCGAGCGCGTCTCTCTATGACAACGTGAACAATCCTACCGCTACACCAGGGAAAACACCAAAGGCCATCGATTCGGCCAAACAGAAGGAGAAGCAGAACGAGACGTGTCAGACAACCCCGAAGACTGCCAACGTCGGAATCGGTACCGTCACGGTGGGTTCGCAGGTGAGCGGCTCGATCACGTAGTACAGTCTGTCCTTATTTAATGTGACGATGTGAAAAATCATTAAGCGAGCAATTGTATGAAAGATTAATGCGTTCCAGAAGCTACCACATCAATTACCCAACAAACATGATAATGTGTTAATAACATTTCTAGTATCATCAGCACGTCTTTAATACGTTATTTAACGTTATTAATACGTTATCATGTTTGCTGAAAAGCGAGCGATCGGTTTTGTACTCAATTATTCTTAGTATTAATTTATTAAACAAAATTTTGTATTGAGCAGCGAGTTAATAACCGAGCAGATATTAAATAAGGGAAGACTAACGCATTTCTCCGTCGAATCGTGACGGCAAGTTACTCATCTCGGCGTTCTCTCGACAGATTGACAGCCCCGATGAGAAGGGCTCCACGATATCGCCGAAGAAATCTCAGAAACAGAGCCAAGACACATCCACTCAGCAGAACGGCACCGAGATGTTGAAGTCGGAGGGTACACAGGCGGGCGGCACTTTGCAGAGCAAATCGTTGCGCAAGGAGCAGCTGCATCACACCAAGTCGGCCGACTACACCGAGCTGGAGATGCAGAATGGTAACATCTTCAACATCGTCAACAATAATCACGGCGGGCACAAGTCGAAAAGTAAGAGCACCGACGACATGCGTATCGAGAACGCGCATAACGGCGGCATCAGCCTCGACTCGAACACTCTGAAACGGATGCTGAAGCCGATGCCGAGCATCGACAGCCCGGTCACGTCGCCGGAGATGACGAGGAAACGCCACAGCCACCACAGCTACCATTACCACCCCAGCAATAACAATCAGAAGTACGTCATGCAGGAGGTTGACAACGAGAACTATGCGCACCCCTATCGAGCGCCCTACAACAATAAGTTCCAAGGCTCCAGGAGCGCCCACGACATGAGTCGGCAATACGCTGGTACGGTCTCTTTACGCCTGTTTCTGTTAAGCACTATTATAGACTCTCCTCGGATCTTTTCACGCGAAATTCTTTTTTTCTTTACCTCTTCAGTGGTGATTTAAGACCGCGCGATTTCCTCAAGGCAGGAGTTTCTTTTTATTTTTGATAAATAAAATTACACGCAGGAGTTTTTTTTTTTATTTTTGATAAGTAAAACTACACGGAAAAAATATATCAGTTTGGGCAACGGAATGGAGACCAGACGAAAAACTTGCCGACGAGCATAATATATCTCTCTACTGTGACCAGAAACATTCCTCTGAACATTCAGCTGCATTAAAACTCGATCGAGACAACTGACAATGGACACTTACTGACATAATAAAGCAATTTTGATTCGCACTTATTCTACTACCTTTCTTTGTGTAAAATATTAAATTCTTTTCGGCATTTTTTCTAACTTTGATGCTGTCAAACTAAGCCATACAGAAAAATGAATTTTAATACGTTTTTTTTCAAAAACTGAAAGGGACTTTGAACTGAAAAACTGAAGGGAATAGAATATGTGCGTATCAAAATCGTTCTGGTCATGTCGGTAGTGTTCATTTTGTGAGAGTAATTAACTGAGTAGAAATTTCCCACAGAAATCTTTTTGTTCCTGTGGTTATTTTTCATCTGGTCCCCAATAACAAAAAATTCAATTTTTACGCTAACGAAGCTGTTTCTCCTGTGTAGATTTTTCTTTCCTTTATTATGCTATTTTCTTTGAAGAATTTTGAAAAACATAATACACAATAGTTTGCTATAAGTTGAAAAAAATATAATAATTTAAGTAAATCAAGAGGAATTTAATATTTTACCATGAAACTTTTCCGTATTGCATGCCACTTGAGAGGTTAATTGTATCGATATTACTTTCCAAGTATCTTTTCCGTTGTATGTTTACTGTTGATAAGTACTTCGATGATAATATTCAAGATTTGAAAATGATTGATTTGTATGTTGATACGTTATGCACAATTATTCGAGACGCTTTTCTTTATTCATATGGCGTTGTCATCGCTGAGATAATTGATTTCCAAGCGATACACATATAGGACTAAAGCTACGTCGAAATTCCGAAGACGAAGCTAGCCAAAATTCCAACACCTCAGCAATGAAAACACCGTAGAAAGAGAGAACCAACGGGGGATCGATCGCATAATTCTCCGTTAAGGATGAAGAAGCGAGATTTTTCACGGGATCTTCCCGCGAGATTACGGTGCAACGTTCTTTTCCTCTTTCAGAAAACAATGAGATCTAATCGAACGTGACTTGTATAAGACGGCAAAAAGCGAAGAGCGACGATGTTCACGCCGACGATTACCGCGCGATCGATCCCCGCGCCTGGTCACCCTCGTACTCTCGCCCCGGCGTGGCGTGAATCCGGCGAACGCGTAACACTCGCGACTGATCAGCAAACCCTGATCTGATCTCCTCGCGTTGGCCCATCCGGCCGGCGGCACGACGGCACCTCTAACCTTTAGCTACACCCTCGGCATAACTTAACATGCGCACGACGAGCCACGACGAGCCTACGAGCGTTATCCGGCCAGCTCCACCCTGATGAAAGTCACGGGGTCACCCACTACTACCACCACTACCATCGTCACCACTACTACTACCACCACCATTATCACCACCACCACCACGCAGCACCCCTAACATTTTGTTGCTCCTAGCCTTCTTACGTAACATGCGCACTAAGGGACAACGTGGTTATTTCGCTAGTCCGACGAGTGCGTCATGGCTCATTCTCCGATGGACCACATCTCGGGTTACGCGTTCGTCGTGATCCCCTCCTACTAATCATACGTTCTCCATTGACCAGCGGCGCACCGCACCACCAACCACGTCCAACGTACATCCTGCACTCTCGGCACCTCTCTGCTCGCAGGCGGCAGAGGCAGGACGTACTTAGATTCGGAACGTAATCGGTGCACAGGTGACATGTCGCCGCCCTCGGACAATGTCATCTTCGACAACCAGTGCTACGCCACCACGCCGAGCTCGTCCAACGGCAACTCCGACATGGAGCAGTCGAACCATTGCAACTCACGCCGCTGCAACGGCGGCCAGACATATCAGCAGAGCATGCAGTCGGTGTCGACTCCAGGCAGCCCGACCAGCCGGTTGCTCCTCGAGTACGAGATGCATCTCAGGAACACCTTGGCCAAGGGTATGGACGCGGAGAGCTACAGCCTACGCACGTTCGAGGCCCTGTTGACGCAAAGCATGGAGAATCTCGGTGAGATACTACCCTCGATCCCTTCGACGTCAGAGAGATTTCTCGAACGCTATTTTCTTTGCGACTGACGCAGAGTCTGTTCTTTTATAAATAAGTCTTTGATTAAGAAAAACCAGATTTCCCTCTGTCGTCTTCTCTCTATCTCTCTCTCCTTCTCTTTCTTTCGTTGATTGAAAATTCGCCTTTTTCTATACAATTTGTTGCAACACGAGAAAAATTAATATTTTAAATAAACGCCAATCGTCAGTTATTGCAGAATTGAGGATCTTATTAGTCGCGAAAAGTTAATAGTTGAATGAGTGACATTTTCAGTGAAAAATCCGATAAAAATTACTCAAACGAACTATTACTCCCGCACTATGGCGTGCAGCAAATTAAACTTCGCGAGAATCAAATTTTCGCCGCTTTTGAGGTCGCGGGAAATACGACTGATCCCGCACTTGCCCTACCCATAATATCTTGTCCCGCCGACTCTTGTATTTTTCGAGCCCGAGCGAATTGATTAAACTCTAATATTTCCAATTTATCAAGCCGATAAAACCAACCATTAATGCATTCTAAGGAGCTGTCAATTGACAATGACGCGACTTACTGTACCTTCGCTCTGAGGCAAGCTATAACCTGTTTCTCTTTCCAGAATACGCGGAGAACATACCGTTGAACGTCCAGCGCACACCTCACGTATCACGAAGACGTAAGTAGAATTCTATGTCGTTAAAGGCTAAGAACAGCCCGTACGAATCCGTACCGTTCGTTGGTGCCTACTAACGCGAATTGTCACGATCGCAGGTTCCAACTCCAACAAGTCGTCGACCCTGCCGCTGTCGTATCGCTACTGCAACGAGAGGCAGAACAGCAAAGACCGGGACGGCTATTACAGCGACCGCAACGAGATGGTGCGAGAGAAGAGAGAGCGAGACTCCGATCGAGATCGCGGCTATCTCAGCGATTACAACTCTAGGTAAAGATCGTTGCAGAAATCTCCCTTAGACCGGCGCCCCGACCGCCAGAGATTTTCTGCGTCCCTTGCATCTCGTCCTTCTGTGTCTTGAATGGAACGTGTCGTTGGGTGGCGCGGAGAGAAGCGAATCGGATTGGCGATTCGCGACGTTCACCTCGACCTTGACCCTACACTTGGTCGCGGATGTTTCAGAATATTTCGCACATTTCTGACAATCGTGCTTAATATATAAAAAATATCATAATTAAGACCTGTATTAATAATCACTACTTGAAACTTTGAATTCAAGTGACACCCAGATTTGAATTAAAAGTTAGACACGTGAATTTTTCAGCTAAGTCGCGACTACAAATGCAATATTACAATGATTTAAGAAAAAAAAACTCAAATTTGAATCCAGATCTGAGTGTCTCACGTGGAACAAGCAATGACTATTAATATAGATCTAAATCAATCAAAGATCATCTCACGTAGCTCAAACAATTGGCAAAATCAGCGTAGAGTAAATAAAAGAATTAAAGTATATAAATAATAGAGTCAAATAAAAATATTGTGCTTGCACTTGCACAAGATTCGACATTTCACTTTTGAATATCTGATAATTTTTAAAAAAATCGAATGTAATCTTCTGAGATAAATGTGGAATCTGTATGAACGTGCCCCTTTACCAGCGCGATGGTATGAGGGCTCGGGAAAAATACCATCATAGGGTTATTTAAGACATATCTGACGTCATTCTGACGTCTACTGGACATCCCACGGGGATTTCTCGGAGACTCGAGCGACTTGCGCGAATTACGAACCGCGGTGTTTGAACGAAAAAGCGCGACAGATCTCAACAATAGTCCGATATCTTGAAGAGCTCGTGCCTCGAGAAAGACACGCGAATGTCGGTGTCACGAGACTTTGACATTTAAAGGGCTGACGGTCTACAACGTCGTGCAGGTACGGCGGTCAGCAAGACCGTTAAGGCGACCTGAATTAGCACCGGATATGCCGGCTATCGATAGCCTCCGGGTGGTCGCACGACCGGCGCAAAAAAAAGAACAACACGTGCGCGTCGAGGGGTGTATCGATAGGTGGACGTGATCGACGCGACGCGTCTCGTCTCGCGGCGTCTATCGAGGTCTATCGAAGGCACCTCCCGGCTCTCGATAGAGCGCTCTCAGGCATCGGCGCACATGCATCATCATCCCCGGCTGGCCGCGCGCGCTGTGCATTACGGGTCAGCGACGGCGGTTGACGGCGAGTCGCCGCTAGTAAATATAGAAAGCTCGCGGGTGGGCTCCGGACGGGTGAGAATACGACGGCGGAGAAACGGAGAGAAGGGTGCTCCGGCCGCGTCGCGATAAGAAAGAAAGGCGCGAGGAGACTCGCGCACGCTGCGCCATCGCCGACGGCTGTTCAGCTCGATGCATCGGTGGGGTGCATCCAGGTGCGGCCGATGAGAGCGCGCGGGGAGGTGAAACGTCCTTCATCGAGTCGGCCCTTCACGTGCGACACACGCCGCGTTTTGCGGCTGTACGTGGCCGGAGCTGTGCCGGAGGAACACGAAGAAGCGTCGATATCTTTCGCCATCGAGATAGACGTGAAGTGCGAGCAGCCGCTAATGGATCACTGACGCCCCGGTGATGTCGCGATAAGGTCACGTCAAGTGCAGCCATCATTGGCTACTTCGGCGGCCCGATAAGGTCGCGGGTGGATGGAAGTGCAAAGTGCGAGGCGAAAGTAAACAGAGAGTGAATTATCGGAGGCTGGGGGCGGAAATGTCGCGCGAAAACCGATCTGCTTGAATATTCTTCGACGAGGGGTACCTTTGTCTTCGAGAGACATTGTCGTTTAAAAGGAGAAAGAATAGAGAGAAGGCTTTCGAATTTCGATCATGAATGCGATTTGAACGAGAGCGGACGCGGGATCAGGTGTTTTACAATTACTGACAGAGAGATCATTTCCAAGTGCAAACCCGCAGGAGGAGAAGATAGTCATCCGAGGACTCGGAGAAGTATTATTTCCAAGCCCCGAGAGACAGGCAAGAATAATCACCTAGTCGGAGAGGAGAGTCGCGCGAATCGGCCGGCGAATAATTACTCCGCCATTGACAGCCACGGTCGTGCGCGAACGACGTTTTCGCAACGGAAGCAACGAGACGAATAATTACGTCGTCGCTCGACGGGAAATAATTATTTCGCCGTTGCGAATGCAAACAGCGATCGTCATTGCCGCCCTCGTCGTCGCCAGGGCCGACTCCAATTATTCAGCTGATCGCGTCGTCGTCATTGATCGGGACTAACGCGACGCACGTCACCGACTCTGGACGCATTGATTCGTGACCAACGGCCAAGGATGGCCGATCTACAGCGCAAGTATCGGTCGCTCGAGCGGCGACGGGATCGCCCACCGGTGATGCCGAAGATGCCAAGGCTGCCGGAAAAGGTGTTCTATCGGATCCTGGACGGTTCTGAGGACCGGTCGCGGAACAAGAAGCACGTCAAATTCCAGCTACTCGGCGAGGAAGACGAGGAGACGCGAAGGAAGAGCATGCAGTATTTCGAGAGATCGCCCATACCTGCACGGTATCGTCCGTTGCGAAGGACACGGGTCCCTCAACCTTTCATCCTAGAATATTGTTTATGCGCAAGAGGCCGAGGGAGAATTGCTGCGAACTTTATTCCATATGAGTCAGAGGAAGAAAATATACTCAACACGAGTGTCAATTAAATCTGCGGTACACGGTGCTTGTTTTCGTGCTGGATGGAAATACTTTGTTTTGATTGGTGTATTTCAGAAATGCACCAATCAAAACAGTATTTTCATTCAGCAAGCAATCCAGTACGAAAACAAACACCGTGTGTCGCTGGTTTTACTCATATATATTCGTTGCAGGGTGTAGGTGAACTCGTCAAACTGAGCGCAGAATTCCTCTACCATTTAGCAAACAACCACGTACAATTTTGAGTTAAGAATTAAAAAAGAAGAAATTAAGAATTAATCATAAGATCGGTGAATGGTCACGCGGTGGAGCTGTGATGGCGACGTCTGCCGTCGTGCTCGTACATTAAATCAAAGTGAACAAAAAGTCCTCCGTCATTTTGCAAATGATCACGCAGATTTTTAATTATTAGTCGAAGAAGATTAATGCATGATTGTGTACCATAATGCACAAGTCTTCTTTGATTAATATTATAATCAAAATTTTACGTGGTTGTTCGCGAAATGATAGTGGAATTTTATGTTCAGCTTGACGAGTTTTACCTGCACACAACGGGTATGTCAATAATTTTTAGACACTCTGTATATGTATAACATACTTCTTCCTGCCCTTTTCTACATTGAGAGAAGAAATATCTAAAAAGCAAGAAATATTTATACGCTGAGTACTAACGATACATTTTTCTATACTATTACATATATTTTTGCATTGAAGAAAAATCTCTCTCGAATGAGAAAATATATATTTTCACGACTGTTACTTTTCGTGAAAGCAATAATTTATTCTATTTAAACAAAACAATTCAGATTTGTGGGAATATATTATTAGTACTCATCGCGAATAAATCGTTATTTTTCAGACGTTTTTTCTCAGTACATAAATTATCCTGGAGCTAATTGTCATAAATTCTGCATACAATTCCAATTTTCTTTCTTTCCCTAGATCTACCGTGTGACGAATATACGTTTCTTCTCCTAAAATAGTAATCTAAATAGTGACTTTCGGCTCTCTACTTGCTCTCTACTAATTCCGTAAGGCCAAGCATGCTTCTTCTAAAGAGTAGTTTAATCTCACCCCTTAGAAGACGGAATTTACTCAGCCCGTTCGCGAACAATATTGACTACGTCCGTGCCGAATCGATGGAAACAATTGATTGCGACACGAACGTAACGATGCAATGTACAATATTTAATAATGTTATGCAATGCGTTGCGTATACATAATTAATTCGTCGACGATGCTTGCAGATGCGCCAGCTGCATCGGGGAGTCCGCGCGCGCACAATGGTTTCGACATTCCGACGGATGGCAGTCCGGCAGCTCGACCCTTGGCTCCGGTGCCTCGAGCTCGATAAATCCGGGATACTCGGGACACAAGAGAGACTCGCCCTGGGACTCTCTTCCGTCCTTGCGCCACGAGGGCAGCCTCAACGACAGCGGCTACAAGTCCAACCGGACTGACTCTCTCGAGCAAAGGTGAGGAAGGCGGGACCGAAAGAAAAATTACACGAATATCCGCATTTTAAAGAAATAAAAATCAATGTCCGACGTTTCGATCAAAATTTTAGAATTTGTAAACCTCTCGAAATGACATTGATTAATTGGTTTCAATGATCTCTCAATGATCTAAGAACGCAAAATGTCGCGGTTTGACTGAGAAAGTTTTTCAACACATACACAATGAAATTTAGAGATTCACTCAGCCACTTGAAAACTTAAAAATTGTCTCAGCCCAATCGCAACACTTCGCTCTCAGATCATTGAAATATCAATAAATGTCTGCAATTTCGTGTAAATGTACTACCCGGAATTTTTAAACGCAAAGTGCAACAACACCAAACAATTTCTTCGCTAAAGCCTTGAAAATTAAAGCAGAAAAAAGGCGCATAACTCTCCCGCAGCACAATGCGCACTTATAGGATACGCCGGGCATTCTTTTTGGTTCTCGTGGATGACGTTCAGTCGCCACCACCTACCTTTTGTCGTCCTATATCGTTCGCATTGTCTTCCATACTTCCATTGTGCCGCATCCTCTCCCCCTTGCCACTTTTATCGCACATCGCGACTGTTCTCTATACCGTTCCGAAAAGGTGGTTTTATTAACCCTCTCCCCCTCCTTGCGCGCTAACGCAAAGCTCTCTCTTTCTCTTCATTATTAACGCACGGCTTTCCACGATGTGCGAAAATAATTCAACTGCTAATATTCTTATAATGAACGCGATTATACGACAGCTTCGTTTAAGTCGGCTCGGCCGCAATCGAAGAGAGAACCGTAAAGGGGAGACGGAGACAGAAAGAAAGAGAGAGACTAACCGGTAATTAAAGGACGTCCGTTTTCACATACGTCACACACGAGCTACGCCGCAGTATTCAATTGTACGTGTTGCATATTGCAGAGGCACTTTCGACAGACAGGACAGCGTCAGATCCGACTACATGTCCGACCGGGACGGCAGATACGGAATCGTTCAACAAGCCTCATTGGAGAGCACCGACTCGAGGCTCTGCTACTTGACGTCTTCCGAGGTGAGTTATCCAAGCACTTGTTGACCTTATCAACCTGATACACCCGAGTGCCTCTCAACGATGCCTTTATAGCGCAGTTGCATTCGCTATGCGCGAACGTACGGCACGAGAGAGGGAGAGAGAGAGAGAGAGCTCGGATGTTTCGAGACGAATTTGTATGTCTCGAGCGTGCATTACACTCGGCGCCGATCCTGATTCTGTGCAGCGGGAATAATAACTATATGAAACTATATCGCGGATTATTAACGGGAACCATTCTCCCCGCTCTCTTCTTCTCCCTTGATTCATTCTCCGATACGGCTGAAACGTGCACGCTGCAAAATGAACGCTTAATCGCGATTAAGAATTGCGGACATCGGCGTGTTAAATATTAAATCTAATTACGAGCAATCTCTCTTTCTCCCTCTCTTTTTTTCTCTCTGATCTTTCTCATTCTCTGTGTGTCTACCCCTCCATCCTCTCCTCTCTCCGATATTAATTAAACGCGAGAACGGTAAGTGCACGTACACCGCGGTATGCGACTGCGAGTATTGATCTGATTGAAGTGCGGACTTCGCAAGACACGATATGACGCGACGCGACATGACGCGCGTAACTAAGACGACTCCGGTCGCGACGAGAATAATTAAATACAACGTAACGTTAGAGTGAAACGAAGCGAGATTAAATGGAGCAGATAACGGCGCGGAAAATAAAAATACGCTTTTCCACACTTCGTCGTCGTCTCCTGCCGCTGTTGTGTCTTGCCGATCATTTAGCGGGACGTCCGAATGGACATTTTCATTTCGAGGCGTGCTTTGTCATAATCGCGGAGTAATTGTATAAGCGATAACAATGCCGGGCTTCTTTTATTTTGCATGTTTATAATGAAAAGAGGCGCGGCATTTATATGAGTTTTGTTGCTGTCTAGTTTCCCTTTCCTCTCCTCTTCCCTCTCCCCCTCTTCCACCCTCGGCCCTGTATGTGTTGCATGCGCGCACCGTGCGAAATTTTTTTTCACAAAACGTAAAGGCGCACCCCTGCTGCACTACTGTTGTATTGCTGCAGCACGGTTACATTACTTTTAAAGCCCTTTGAGGGGTTCTCTTTCGCTCGCACTCACCGTCCATTTGTGATTTAAAACGGCGAGGCAACCGAACCGGAAAGCGCGAATCGATGAGCGATAGCGGCAACTGGTCCCGCCGGGAGCTTTGAAGCTACCTCAAACCGCGAAGAATGAGAGCGCACTTTTGCATAAAACAATTTGCGGCCTTCTCCTTCGCTCTGATCCGCGTCCCGTCGTTGCGACTACGTCGGGACGAGGGAAACCTCGGCAAAGCACCCTCGCCGACGCGACCACTGAGCAACAATATCAACGCAATCCCTTTACTCCGCAATCTACAATTCTTACATGCACTGAGAGAAAAAAAATGGTTGGTCTAACCAAAATTGTAGTTATTCTTTGCTCCAACCATGTTCTTTTGCTTATTCCAACACAGTATCGTAGTAGTAACATGCATATAAGGCTACTATTAGTAACATTATAATAGAATTTGATGAAAAATGATTTTCTTGACCATAATTTATAGTAATTCCCAAGTAGAAAAATTTCCAGAAAATACTGGTCATTAGCCAGAAACTGGCCAGTTTTCACTGGCTAGGATTTATTGGACGGGAATTATTCAGAAACTAGACAGAAAAATACTGACCAGTATTTCTTCACTTCTTCGCTCTTTCTACTTAGGTTGCTTCTCTATGTGATTATACTTGCGAATACTAAACATTTTTTTCTCAGCATGTCGATCCGATCTTTAAACTTCAACTTTCAATCATTTATAAAAGAGGAAAAAAGAATTACTCGCAATAAAAGTCGCTCGTACTAATCGGACATCGGTTATTTTTTGTTTTTTTTTTCTACCTTGCGGGGGCGGAATTTTTGCATGTAATTTCTTGGCCGCGTGATTTTCTCATGGCGACGTGACGATATCGATGACTGTAATCTTTCTCGCGTGTCTGCACGCACAACGCCGCGGAAACGGTCTTCGCCCCTAACGATTACGAGAAATTGCGCAACTCTCTCTCTTTCTCTCTTTCCCCCGCAATAATCGTAACGGCGCGGCTGCACAAATTGCATCGACGCCACCGGCCACGCCTACGGTGTAACGACACGGTTGCAAAAGAGGCCAGCGCAAAACGAGGAAAAGGAAGATGTCGATAATCGCGAGGCGACGTGTCCCGTTCGCGGACATTCGCGAACGAGGAGAAGTCCCGACGATGCGCGCAAAGGTCGTCGTGAAACCCTTTCTCTTCCTCCCCTTGCCCGCGCGACCGTGCGACGTGTGTCGGGTCAGCGGGCAAAATTGAAACGAGAGCTCGAATTTTCGGCGTGCTTCGCGACTCTTCGCGTATCTTATCCCGCCGTTAACACGAGAGGATCTACGGAAATAACACCCTGAGAGCCGTGTGCAGATACACACATATACAATTCTCAATCTCTCCGTGTAAAATATGTCTGGAAAGTCCGGAAATATAAATCCTGAGAGCAGTCCTTCTCTCTCTCTCTCTCTCTCTCTCTCTCTCTCTCTCTCTCTCTCTCTCTCTCTCTCTCT